CAGAGGGGTTTTATTTCTGGGCGCATGAGGGTGCATCGGATGTCAATGGGTTAATGGGAAATTTAAATTAGATATTTGTAGATGTACAAACCTATGGCAGTCTTAATTTGAAAGTGATAAAAATATATTACCATTATCATGAAACATTTGTAAGAGCCATAATGACCACACCATCAAAGGCATGACCATTACCTGGTAACTAGATGAGTGTAATTTGCAGGAAATCAATGTGGTAACAATGAGTAGCATGTTGCAGCTTAAGACTGTAACTAACTTGGTGAACCACAATGGTAAGTGGCTTGCTCTTAAACAGGTAGCACGAGGTTTCTCTCTTGACCCGTGGGCTTGTCTCTTTTACAAGAGTTGGGACCCCAAATTCCAGATGCAACTTGACCATGGACACATTTCTCTTGAATAGCAGTGATGTCCACTGCCTCTAGTATATCTGTCTGCTGTACTCTAACGATTTGTTTCAGAACACCTCTCCCTCACACTTGGAAATAAAGCTGCTCAGGCTGCTTTACCAGAATCTCACTAATTGCCCAGTGACAAGCATCACAATTGCACTTTTGTTTCTCTCAGTTAAAGCTCTTGCATCCTCTTAAACCTTTTACATAAATATGGATGGATCCATACAGCAGTGCACAATTCTTCTTCAATGTGACAGTGCGATTATGCACTGCTGTGGCATGTTTGTATCTCTAATTCTGGTATAAAATGTGACAATGAAAAAAATACCCATTGCTTGTCCCAGGTTCCATTTTCACCAAGTTGGTCAATTTTGCTGTCGTTCTTAAGACTGGAACTGATTGAGCTTGCTGCAGTCCTCAAAGCAAATAAATTCCATTCTGCACCTCTTCTAAATGAAAACTTGACTTACAATTAACAAAGTTTAAAATGTGAACTTTATAGTACTCAACTAGAGAAGCTTCGAACATTTGTTAAAAAAATATCTGACAGTTGCAAGGTTTTTAAGTCACCTCATACAGGTACCAATAATTATGAGGCTGTTTATCACCAATTTTGAATGGAGTCTTTGTACTGAAGGGCTACATTCCTTTGAAGAAGGTGCTGGGAGCTTCTGCATTGTTGACACAGCTTGCAAATATCTAAACATATATTACACATTAGGATTGAATACTGAAAGAATTGAAAAATTTAAAATTGGAAAAAATACTTTAATAATACTATTATTAGTTGACTTCCCAACATAAAATTAATTGCACCAAGTTGTTGTCTTTTTATTGACAGAAGATATATGGAATTGGAATCTGTGAGCAAGGTTTTTTCTCAAATAATCTTAATCTAAGTCTTATCAAAAACATAAATAATTCATTAATGACTTGCCTATTCTGCATTCCTGAGTGGCTTTGCCGTTCCCCTGTAGCATAGTGTAAGTAGTACTTTCTGTGTCTTTTGCAAAAGTTCCAAGTTGAGAGTTTTTATAGCTTTGCAAGAGTATCAGTCTTTTTGCTAATTCCTTTGATGGGAGAAAATGGATAAGGAATGTTAACTCAAAACTGCCAAAATATGCAAATGATTTCAGTTTCTTCAGTAATATACACGTACCTTAATAATTGTATTATGAGAGTTTCACAGACTAATGACATTTTATTTGCCCTTACCAATGTGCAAGATGTGATAATAATGTCTGGTTCCTTTGGGTATCATATGAAGAAGGCCCTCATGCTCACATCAAGAACTGTTTGGCACCTCATTAGACTTGTTATTAATTGTTAAACAGTTTACTGATGGCTTAGCAGAAGTAGTGGCCTTTAGATGGATAACTTACCTGAACAAGCCAAACATCTTTGTTGATCCTTTGTTCAATGAATGTAAATGCCCCATACTTAGCACTATGACCTGGGCTGTCAGATCTACCATCCCCAGAAAGAACAACACCACCACCTTTATTAGATAATCTTTCTACCAATTTATCCTGCTCTTCCTTCCACATTTTTATGATAACAGGCATGAGGTTGTTCCTCTGATGTTTATGATGTCTGGCAGCTAAAACACTGGACCTTCAGAATTTTCAGCATTCTCAGGGTTTGGGAGATCATTCTACCAGAGTGGAAAATAGCAGTGGATAGCAACAAATTTCTATCTTTTTAATGCAAGATTGACCTCTCCATGCGCATGCATAATTGCAGCTTAGATGTTCTTGGGTGATGTTCATGAGAGTGCCTGCCACATTAGGTAGTAGAAGGCTCAGTGCACAGAGGACAGAACTCAAAGAGTTGCATCAAGCAGGAAAAAAAGACAATGAACTTGCTTTCACTTTGTGGGCCCTCTGAACCTTTTTTACTGTAGGATGTCCGATAACAAAATGAAATTGACCATAACGTATAACAAAAATTTTTTTACCTTGATAGTCTTTCTTCAAAGTTGTTTGGTTTCTTTTCCTCCTCCTTCGCCACTTCTTCCACCAAGGGAGAAATAAATGTTTTGGAATATATTCCAGGTCTTTCTGATCATCTTTGCTGCAATCACCCACACTCTTATCTGGGCTACTCAGAGGTGTAGGACTTGTGGGTACAGATGGTAGGTTGATGATCTCACATCGGACCTCAGCCTCAGTTGTAACAACTTCCACTCGTGTGTTTGTGTAATGAGGATAGCCATCATACTCAATAATAGGGACAGATTTCAAAGAGCAGAAACTTTTCTTAGATTTGTTTTAAAAAGTTATCGTCTTACCCACACTTGCCATAGATTTTTGTAGAAAATGGGACCAATAAAATTCCAAATCGCATTGTATACCAGTATCAACAAATTCTCATGCTCTAATAAGTGGTTTGGTTTCAGGTAAGGGTTCAGACAGATCAGAGTCTTTCGTGGGCTCAAGGCTGATTCCCGAACAACTGGATTCCCCATAGTCTTTCAATAGTTGAGAAGCAACATTGTTTTAGAGAACCTTAATTACTGTTATTAATTTTCTTGAGGTTTCCACTCAAATCGATGTTGCACTTACTCTGTTGATCTCTAACTTTTGAAGAGCTCTACTTCTCCTCTGGGTTCGGTTGGCCCCTTTCAGATCCTCGCTATCTGCTGACTGTATGGGTGTACCTGAAATATATACTAAACAGCCATGTGAAAAGAAAATGTGCCATTTTTGGGTTTACATGCCCTTTAAGTCGTATGATGTTCAATCGGTATTTGACCATAACTGGCCAACAACTCAACTGGATGGTTACACTTAGGATCCTATGGGGGTCACAATTTTTTTCCTATGATGTTGATGCTAACTAATTAAACGAATTTCACTGTTCTAATTTAGGTACCAGCATATTCAAAGTATATAACTCTAGAAAGGTTATTAAAAATACTTTCTGAAAAAGTAGAACCTATAAAAGCACATTTTTAACATCTAGATTTTTCACTATTTGAGAAAACAACGTATTTTAGAAAAGAGTACATACTATTTGCAGCTAGAAAACAAATGTTTGTCAATTTAATGAATAAAATCAGCTATTAATTTTGGTTTTTCAGCGCAAAACCAAAAAAATACTTAAAAAATTACAGCTAATTCTTAATGTTTCATTCCTATGTATTGTGATGCAGTCCTCTTGGTCTTCCTGGCCTAGTCCTCCATCTTCCATAAAGTTCTGCCAGTCTTCTTGGGCCTTGCCTGCTTTTATCATTGAAGTGGTAGTGTCAACCTGTTGAATACGTACTTTGCA